CAGGTTCAGAGTTCCCCCAGTCCAGAAGCGTTCCCAGACAGACACGCAGAGATGCAGACAGGCAGGCTTAGGGACAGAGACAAGACTTGGTACCAATATTTCTGCAGGACTTTAAACTGGTCTCCTCCTAGGAGCCAGGCTTACGGGAATAAAACTGACCGTTCCGAGCCTAAGGGCTCCGCAGAAAAGGATCAGGACACGATCAGAAGACAGGACAAACACTAAAACCCTATCAAACCACTGGCCAGCAGGAACGAGGACACAAACCTTGGAACTAACAAAAGTAAGGAAACAGACATACAGGCATGAGACAAACAATGATCTGGGCCCGATAGCTTGGCTGAGCCGAATATAAAGCAGAACCAGCAGGGTGATGAGATCAGTGATAATTAGGAGCCAGGCAGAATAACGCAGGTGAATGACATGAACAATTAATGCTAGCTATCAGGGCAGATCATGACGTATTATGTTTTTTATTTAAATCAATTGAGGTAGGAGGCTTAATATTTGAAGCTGGGTTGTTTTTTTCGGAAAAACTATCAGTTTTACAGCATTAACCAATGGTCCCCTTGAAACATCTATCATTGCGGTCTCTTCCAGAAAAACAGTTTAGGACTCATATGTTCTTGTTCCGCTCCTTGTAAAGTAGCGAGTCATACCTTTCCCTATTGCAAGGACATCAAGTACATTGTTAAGTGACCAAAATTCCGCTCACAGCAGATTGCATANGTACTTCCACTTTTACCAGAGTATTTTTTAACACAAGTATCTGTACTTTTACTCAAGTACGGAAAGTGAGTACTTTTGCCATCTCTGGAGATCAGTGATAATTAGGAGCCAGGCAGAATAAAGCAGGTGAATGACGTGAACAATTAAGGCTAGCTATCAGGGCAGATCATGACATATTATGTTTTTTATTTAAATCAATTGAGGTAGGAGGCTTAATATTTGAAGCTGGGTTGTTTTTTTGTTGTTTTTTTTCGGAAAAAATATCAGTTTTACAGCATCTATCATTGCGGTCTCTTCCAGAAAAACGGAAGTTGCAAGGACATCAAGTACATTGTTAAGTGACCAAAATTCCGCTCACAGCAGATTGCATACTGCATAAAGCGACCAAAGGCTTTGTCAGGTAAAGGGAGTCCTGAATAAAAAAGCAGATTTATTTTACCGGATTCTCTTTTAAGAGGTGGTCATGACACTCGCTCACAATGTGTTCCACTAACAGGTTTTTCTGTGGTTTTCAATTCAATTTTAATGGCATTTTATAAAATAAAACATTTGGCTTAAATGTTTTAACTTTATTTTATCACAAATAAATCAGATGTGGAAACATTTGTGATAGAGGTTCCACTAGAAAAAATATTTTTTTTATGGTCTTACCTTTAAAGTAGTATCAAGAATGTGCATTTAGATCTGGTAACTGTGGAGCTATTATTGATTTGTTTCTGTTGCATATAGTTTCTGTCTTACTGGAAAAGTAAGTCAAAGCTGATTTAGGGTCCTTCTAAATCTGTGCTCTGAGGTAATCTGTTTGCAATGTTTGCAGATATGAATTCCTGCAGCACAATGCAGCCACTGGAGTATTTGGCCTGACGGTGGGTGGTACACACGTCCCTCTGTCGCATACCCAACTGGCTGCGCTGCCTATTATGATCCAAACAATGGAAATCAGGCCCCAACTTTACTGGAAGCCACTCTAGATGCTATGTACGATTAGCCTTATATATACATAGCCCCAGTTTGTGTCGCTGAAAACGGGCACAAAACACGGAACAGCTTTTGTGCTGCAGCTCGAGGAAAAGAAAACTGCCTCTCCGGTCTTTACAATGGACCCTCAGTAATAGTTTTATTAGTGAAACAAACAATGCCATTGTTTATTTGGCTCCAAGGCGCGTTCGGAGCTCATCTAAGGTTTTTTTTTTTTTTAAAGAATTTCACACTTTTAAGAAAATAAAAGTGTTTGACAGACAATTTAGGTTTGCAATTTTGATGGGCCAATATTTACTGGAGTGACATGAAACTACAGCTACAAGCTTGTATATATTCAGAATCCACTGACCTTTTTTTATTCTCAGAACTGATCTTTGACTGTTGGAAATGATTGCAAACACTGACTTTATCATGGAGTGGCCATGATGAGACAGATATCACCAAAAAGTAATAGAGGAACAGCTTCATTAATAATGGATGAATAAAAAGTGCTTGGTTTTATTGGAATGATGTGAGCCTGAACCAACAGGGCTGTTTTGCAAACAGTGGCTGGGCTTTCCTTGGCACACTCCTACTTCACTGTTGAGGAGGGAGACATGCAAATTTATCATCTCAAAAAAAAAAGAAGCAGATGAAAAAGGGAGGGCAGGCAACAACTCAAAGTCATAACAACTGAGGCTGAGAGACAATAAAGTCCTGTCTTAATTTAGGCTTAAAGGAAAAAAATGTTTATCATTTTCCAGTTATGACATTAGGAAGCTTTTGGCAGTTTTAAAATAAATAGGATTATTTTACCTACTTTCCTGGACAGCATTTTGTCCTTGCTTCACAGCCATGGAAAATTCAAAGAAGACATAGCACAGGTAATTACAAACAGTACTCACCATCAGCTCTCCATATGGTTGGATTATAAAAGTTACTCTGAAATATGCAGTAAAAACCATTGTTGGTTTAATTTAATAAGCTTTAGTTAATTTATTTTGGTAGCAGATGCAAACCAAAATATTTTTATTTACAGTTGTAGTTCACTCAGTGATGGGTCTGTTCAGCTTTTATCTATGTCCAACAGAGAAAAATGCAATTTGACCTTGGAAAAATAAACTATTCCAGAAAGGCTTACTGTTAGAAAGGTTGGAGCAAAAATGTAAATGTATATGCATCTTTAATCAGCTTAGTGACAGCACAAAGTTAAGCTATTTAGCTTGCTGAACCTATTAATTCTGAAGCTGTTGCTCCAAATAAACAGAATATTGCCAGCAAAAGGTTTAGATACCACCTTAGAGAAAAAGTGTTTAACACATTCACTTCTGTTTTGGTTATATTTTATTTGGAAGTTGAAAATAAATAAATTTTTATTTCACTTTATTTGTTTTCGATTCAAAATTTGAAAGACAAAAAAAAACATTTTAACCATTGGCTTAAATGTAACTGTTTATGTTAAGTATATTTAGTATTTAAACTTATAAAATCTTTTTTTCAAGATGAAACCAAATAAGGGGTATGAAAATTGCCACGCCGGTTTTATTGGATGGATTCTAACATTCAGTTTTTTCAATGAAGGCACCGGTTAAAATGTTCACATTATATTTTTACCCTCAGTAAAATACCAATTTCATGTTATCACAGTATCAGCTGAAAAATGAAATACTATAAATAAAAAACAAAATCTGAATTTTCTTTCAAAAAACGAAACTTTATTTGGTATAAAGATATTCAGTATTGTGATGAGGGGACCTTACATATTTTTAGGTGAGATAAAATTATTTAATTACGATTTAATATCCTGTGCAATAACCTGTTTCTTTATATTTAATAGCCAGTGCAATAACTATATATAGATATTGATACAGTTCTATATAAATACCCATGTACATACTCTGTGCGATACCCTGTATAATAATCCTGCTAAATAAGAGACTTCAG